GTTCTTGCAGTGCTGCACGCAATTTCTCTATTTAAAAAAAAAATCCTATAGCTGTCCCATGGACAACTTAAGCCTGGCTTGATAAATTAGACATAGAATATGGCCCCAGCCCAGCAAGGATGTGTTGTCTGACAGCTGAGCTATGAATACTGCAACCTCACACTCTGTAGGCAGCTGACTGTGCGGTTTCTGAAGGGATTTTTTGGAAGTGGAAAGTTTGATATTTAGGATGCAAATCTAGAGGAATTATGTAAGGATGGATTTGGGATTTCTCTTCAGTGGTTGCCAGTAAAATCAACCCTGGAGTTAACTTTGAGTTCAGCAAGTGCATGGTTTTACCACATGAAGTTTTCAATTAAATAGTGAATAAAAATATGTAGGGTTATACGGGGCTATGCCATACTAGCGCGTGTAATCCCTTCTTCAAATGTATGTTGCAAGGTTCTTTAGGGTTTCATAGCAGGACTTCCACATTGCCAGTGCTAGCACTTTAGCAGTTCTTCATCAGCATTCCCCATAATTCCCTCCACTCTCTTCTGGTCTTTGCTGGAGACTGCTCTACCCATGGAGTTTGTACCACATGATAATTTAAATCAGGTACACATTTTCCTAGTTATCTTCTTTTTCCTAGTTATCTTCTAGTAATCTGTACTACGGACACAGCAGTTCCAGTTAGGAAGGTGCTTTGAAAGAGTTCAACTTAGCAGTGGAACACTCCTTTCATTAAGCAGTCTGCATCACATTAATTAGTCAGGTACATTAATAGCTACCCAAAGCATGAAACAAAATTCAGATGACAACCCAACCCTCCCCATTAATCACAAACAACTACAGACTACAATTTGCATGTGTGTGCACGTGTGGGGGACATGTACCTTTTTGTGTGTCCGTCCACATGTCTACAAGGCAGGCAATAGCCCCTGGGATTTTCATAAGGGATTGCTCCACATGCAGGAAAAAGCAGTGAAAGGAAGTGAAAAGAAGGTTAAAACCAGACACATATCCATCAACTCAATTAACACTTGAGGGGAAAAGCTAAAAGCTGCCAGGCGGCACAGGCAGATAATGCTCCTCAAAGTCAGAGCAACAGAGGAAGTGCTGGAGAAGGAACTTTGCTGCCTGTAAGCAGAATGAGTGGGTAGTGCTGGACTGGCTGAGCTGCCGCTTCTCAATAAGTTGTTAATGGGGAACATAGAGAGTTAGGAAGTAATGAGGACTTTGTCAATGCAGCTGTGGATAAAAGTGGGTAAGGAACCACTTAAAGGAAAGACCATCACACAAATCTGCAACTATAGAGCCTGCGCTTTCCGGTGCTTCAGAAATTACTTGCAATAATTTTGGAAGTGTTATAGAGGCTGAGAAGCTAAACACAACCATGGGACAGATCCTTTTATTAAACCAGAAGCAACAAGGAATAAAGAAATCTTGGCAACTGTGGCCTCATCTATAATTCCTTTTTTTTTTTTTTTAATTTTTTTTTTTTTTTCCAATTCTTGGGAAAGCAAAAGAATGAACAAATCTAAATAATCCACAGTCACCCACAGATGGAGGCACCAGGAGAGCCCTGCTTCTGCAGGCAACACCCAGCACAAGACAAATGTCTCTGTCATGGCCTGAATGGGTGTATTAGGGAAGGAGGACCCCACAAACAGGTCCACCCCCGCTCCCTAACTTCATATGCCTGCCAAAAACAGCTGTCTACTTTGGACAAACAGGGCCAAACCCCCTCCTGTACCTCCACGCCTGCCAACAATAAGTCATCTACATGGTAGCTGGGACCATTAGATAACCCACTTCAGGAGGACTGGCTTGTGTCGGTGCCAACAACACAGTCAAAAAATCAGAGGGTTTCTTCCAAAAGGACCAGATTGGAAGAAGGATATTAATTTAGGGTGGCAGTGGGTCACACATCCATCTTATAGTTGGGTGTGTTGGCATTTAGGAAGCAGGGAAGTTTTCTGAGCAATCCTGGGCACTTTCCACTTCCTCCCCTTCCCACAAAAGCAGCACTGCGCCCCCCCACCCCCAGCCCCCATTGCTGTATAATCACTTTTCCCTTCTATTTTATGTAAAGACAAACACTACTAAAAACACCCTGCATTCTCGTTTCTTCACCTCCATGAAGAGTAAACACAGAAAAATGCTCCCTAGAAAATACTCCCTAGAAATGAAGCACTGGATTTATTCAAAGGTAAACATCCTGTTTTACACATCCCCCAAGACTGCGAGGAAGGTATTGCTTTCTGTGCTGGGAAGTGCAAAGCTGAGCAGGACCACCACTGTATGGGCTTCCCTCCTGCATCCAACCTCTGCAGAGGGACATGCAGAGCTTTTGCGGCTCCCCAATTCAATGCAGTTCAGACCTGAAATCCAGGTGAGCTGGAGATAGGTGGGAAGGCTGGGAGCTGCCCTCACGGGACCATCAAGCCCTGCAAGTGCCAGGGAAGCTCTATGGCCACATCCTGCAAACCTCTCCACCCTAGGTACATACAATCAGGGAGGAGGCCAAGCCAGTAGCCAGGTTGGTTTCATGAGAGCAAGGACAACCCCCATTTCATGGAAATACTGCCTATGGCCAGATCCACACAGTCCTGGCTTCTCTGCACCAGCAGGGACACAGAGCAGCCAAGGATGGGGAAAGACACTTAAGACTTCCTTGCTGCCTTCTGGGCTTCTTTCAACATAAAAGCAATTGCTGCAGCTGGAGAAGAGAGGGAGTGCGGCATGTAGATATGGATACAAAAATGTCATGTTCAACAGACCCATCTCCTTCCAATGCACAAAACCCCACTGTGGAAACCAAAACCACCAGAAATAAGTCATGGACCACAAAGCATGCTTGCCCTTTCAAAAAAAAAAGAAGAAAAAAAAAAAAGGATGGAAAATAGGTAAGAAGGCTCCTCAGAGCATTGAGGAGAAGTCAGCTTCAACAATGTCTTCTTGGGGCAGCACAGGATGGTTGTGTCCAGCTCCAGGTGATGCCCAACCCTATGGAAATATCTGAGCTTAGGCCTAACCCTCCATGGCTCCCACTCCAGCACCAAGTCCTAATGCATGTTTGATTAGGCAACAGGAGGAGGATCTGCTCCTGCCAAAAGTGACCACAAGCTCTTGGCAATAACACCGAGTACTTGCTCTGGCCCTAACCACACACCGCAGTCGTTACCCCGGCCTGCCAAGGGCAGTCGTCTTGCCAGAGTATTCAAAATAAAGCAAAGGAGAACAATTGCTTTAAAATAGTCAGTGTTTCAAGTGCTCTAATGAAGAGAACATGTATTGGGGTGACCTCAGAGAAAGGAAAACCTATTAAAGCAAATGCTAGAAGTGATTTTTTCAAGTATTCCTGCACTTTTCCTTTACCACAGGGAAAGTCTGCAGAAACCTTACAAAACCAGAGCCTCAGCCTTATTCATCATTATAGTCTCACTGGTTCCAAGTGGCATTACTGCTACAGATGGGGACTATAGATCAGGTGAGGGTATTTCTAATTCTGGTTATTTTTTCTGCTTACTAACCACTCTTGGACATGAGTTAGGCCTTCCACAAAACCAAGGCTGGAGGACAAATAACGAAATAAAAAAAATTTAGAAATATGAGAAAATTCTGCATTCTTGTAATTTCCCTTCTGATTTTTATTTTTGTTGTTGTGTTGGTTTTTTTTTCATACTTTGGAAACAATAGAGCAAAAAGCAAAAACCATGGTCACGGAGCAACCCAAACTTGAAAAGAAGCAAAATGCCATCCAAAGGCAAATGGCAAAATTCCCAGTAACATCATTAATGCCAGAGTTCCATCTCATATGCTTTTCTGTGAATCGATAGAAAAGTATCTCAATGAAGATATCACATTGTACACCACTTACGATTACACATGCGATGAGATTCTCAAATGCTGCTTTTGAGATGCAGAGCTCACAATGAAACAAGAATCCTGCCCCATGTGCATGGCTATTGGGGCACACGTGCAGATCAGAGTTTGGCTCACGCGTAGAGCGTGATGGATAGGTTGGGATTTAAGTGTGAAGCAGAACTGCAGAAGCAGTTTGCATTTACACCACCGTGATATCCACCCTAAAAAATGAATACCTTGCACTTTTCAAGCACCAGCCGCTCCTCGTGCCTCTATACTGGGGAAGCCTGGTTTAAGACTGGGTGAGAAGCACAGCAACGGGGGATGAGCACAGCCTGCCTCAGCACACAAGTGGAGGCTGGTGTTGCTAGAGGGTTTTCTGGGCTTTTGACAGGAGACAGATTTATTATCTTGGCCAGCAAGTTGCTTCAGTTGCTTTCTGCAGTGCCTGAGTGCAGAGTTGCCCTGTGCTGGGCACTCTGCCTACAGGCATTTCGTCACCCTGTCTGTGGGGTTGCAATACGCTCCAGTGGCATCTCCTCATCTTGTGGCAGACCCAGAGTCAGGACGGCACCTCAAGCATGCCTCCCTTGCCCTGGCCACCCCTAGAGCAGGGGCAACAGCAGCACAGCCAGAGCCTGCCTTGTCCCTGGCAAGGGCAGCCCTGAGGTTATTCCCGTGCCCGAGTACTCACACTCAGCACGGCTGGAGCTCAGCATCTTTAAAGACCTTTCCTTTCCACACACTACTCTATTCATTTTCCACTTCCCCAATCACAGCTGTCAAGCCCTATTAAAGTGTAGAAAAAACACATTTAAACCCAAACCTGCTAGGCCAGAAATAGAAGTTCTCATTTTCTTTTCCAAAACACGGAATAGCTGAGCAACAACGAACGGAAAAGGAAATCTCTCCTGAGTGCACATCTGGAACCAATTTGCTGTATGTAGCCACTGGGTGTCACTTTTGATATATATTGGGTCAGCCACACAGCACTTCACGGAGACAAACTGATTTCAAGAGGTGATCCTAAACCAAACCAGACTGCTCTGCAGCCTCTCATGCTCAAGCTGTAATTAGTAATTAGCCAGCCAGGCTGATTTATTAACAAAACGTCTTCACCACGACATTAAGCACCATGCAGTGGCTCTTACCTCTCCGTCTGCAGCGTGACTTTTGACGGCTCCACGTTGGGGTTTTCCCACTCCATCTGTGGACAGTGCATGAAGTAGCAGAGGGTGTACAGAGCCTCTGGCTCCCAGTAGAAGGATCCTTGCTTCTGGTGCATCGGTGTCCCGTTCCCGTGCTGCTTGGCATTGAGGGGCTGGAGGTGGTGCATTGCTCGAGATACCAGGTCACCTGGAAAAAAACCAAAAGCTGGGTGAATGCCAGGCTTTTTGACTGTCTCTCTCCAAAGTTTTCAAACCAAATGGCATGCCAGGCTGCTTCCATTCAACCTCACATACACAAACAGGAAGGCTAGGACAGGATTCTGCGGACTTCTCACATTGCCAGGTCAGACTTTGCCTGGTGGTTTACACAGCTTGGAATGACGTAACTGGTCTGCAGACAAGCCCCTTAAAAGCCTGAGTGAGAGATTTCTGCAAATATGGTTTGTAGGCCGCATCAGTCTGGCCCATCTCAGCACCATCAGAAAAGCCAGTAAGCCAGGGCTGGCATCACAGTGACCTACAGGAAGCCCTTGGAGGCTGCCAAAACCCCGTAGGCTGAAAAATGACTAGTGAAGATGATGCAGGGTGGCATCAAAAGCTTGTATCCTCCTGGGAAGAGAGTGGTAGGGTAACACAGCCCCTTGCAATGAGAATGGAGGCAGTCAGGTAACACACAGAGCACTGCAGGAGTATGCACAGGGATAAATGGGTGAAAAAAAATGGTGGGGGGG